CAAATTGATTCTTAAATTATCTTCTAAGTGTGTGACCCATAGGTTTCTCATCATATCGGTAGTGTGTAGTATTGCCATTAACACCAATTAATCGTCTCATTATATACAGACCAAGATTGGCTCCTAGCAAGACATCATGGCCACCCGTTAGATTCGAATTCAACAAAACCACAACATGTCAATAGTATGGTTACCGTGTAATCCAATCATTTCATCATCTGTTATCTCTTCGAGACTGAGGTACAAAAATAGTGTCAACCTCTGATATCATCGACATTTTTGTATTCAGTCAATGGACCAATGACTGGAATAATAAATTGGATTGAACATCAACTCAATCCCATTATGGCCACAAATTTAGTGTCATTGTCATTTACTGAATGACACAGTGAAATAACTTCTCCCGTACCCAGGAGTGATGAATCTTTTGTCGATCAACCATAGTCTTGATACACTTCTCAATATAGCCAATTACTACCGTATTTATAGCTCTGAATAGAACTACATTGGGGTAGTATCAAACTACACCAATTGGTGCACATGGCGCTCCGGTGATCTCAAGTCTAAGGACCACATGCACCATCATCTGTTAGAGGATTTATTCCATAGACACTAGGGTTACCATCCATATGGAATCCTCTAGTAAGTATGTCCAGTAAACTTGTCTCTAACAAGCACCCATGCGTTGCATCAGGTTGTCGGCAAACAACCTTGACAAGTGAGATCAGTCACTGCCTTTCGATAGGGTCATTCAACACTATGATAGTCTTACCATATTATCTGTGTCCTTGGTTAGAATAATACTGGGGGTATAGACGTTTCTAGAATGACCACCATATGTGATCATTGGGTTCTTACTATCAAGATTTAAAACACTTGATACCCTCATCTCGGTTCTACCATCCTAAGGAGATATATCATTACATACACGATATAGAAGAATATGTCTTTTATTGATAAATAAACATTTATTACAGAGTTAATTCTACAGTAATTGATTGGCTCTAGGGTACCTACTCTAACACCTTTTATTGTAACTTAGATCAGCTTTGAACTTTATCTTGTAATGTGTTTTTAACTTAGTGGATTGCTTCGATCTAGACAAGGTCCCATGGATGTAGGCTAAAAGTGGATTTAGCCGAACCATGTATATGGCTGTGTTCTTTACTTTTGGCACTTGTGTTTGATGTGGTTAAAAACTTGTAATTTTCCGCTGCACTTTAAAAATAGGTAATCCAAAGCCAAAGTGGTTTAACCAATCCCCAACATATTGAGTACATGTTCCTTTTATTTGCTTATGGTACTTTGAATCCTTCAAGGGTTTTCATATAGATATCAGTATCCAATGTACCATACAAATACGAAATAACAACATCCATGAGACGCATATCGAGTCCTTTTGAGACTGATAAACTAATCAAGTATCGAAATGTGATAGCATCCATCACTGGTGAATACGTCTCATCGAAGTCAATTTCGGGTCTCTACAGGAAACCTTGAGCCACTAGTCTAGCCTTATACCTAGCAATCTCATTTTTTTCATTTCGTTTCCTTCTGAATACCTACTTGTATCCTACAGCTTTCACATTTTCAGGCGTTTGGACTACAGGTCCAAATACATTACGTTTTGCTAGGGAGGTTAATTATGCTTAAATTGCCTCTTCCCATTTTGGCTAATCATGTCTTTGTTGAAATTCATCAACATAATGTGGCTCAAACTCATCATTCATAAGTTCAGTAGTTATTGCATATGAGAATATGTTATCGACAATAGTTGTCTCACGATTCCACATTTCTCTAAAGTGAACATAGTTTATAGAAATTTCTTCATTTCTATGTTCTTATACTCCTTCAGGGATTTCTTCCTCTTCAGGAGCTTGTGTCCTTTCAACGGCTGTTAACTCTTCTGGAGTTAGTTTAGAAGATGTGGAACTATCAATTATTCCAGCATTGTCAATATTGGCACATATTTGGTTCTGTGTCTTTCATTTCCTAAGAACAGTATCCTTGGCTCCAATAGGCCTACCACGCTTCTGGCGTGTAACAGATGAACTGATCATTGCCCACATGGATTGTTCATTGGTAACATCAATCCTTGCTGGCATATTGATAATAGGAATGTATGATCTCGTTATTTTTGCTGCATCTAGAAATGCATTAGGCATTTGATTGGTGATATTTTACAAATGTGTTATTATTTGCACTTCAATTTTAGATTGATATGTACAAGGATCTAAATGAGACATAGAATTTACTTTCCAAGAAATTTCAGGCCTTACTTCAGGAGGCTTTACCCTTTTTCCTAAGGGAAGAAATATTGTCTCATCAAAATGGTAACTATAAAACGTGCAGTAAACAAATCACCCATGAGGGGCTTAAGATATCCGATTATGGATGGCAAGTCATAGCCAACATATATTCTCAAACGACGTTGGGGTCCCATTTAGGTGCATTGAGGGGGTGCAATTGGAACTTGCACAGCACAACCAAAAGTTCATAAATGGGATATATTAGACTGATGTCCACATACAAGTTGTATTGGAGAGTATTGATGATACGCAGTGGGTCTTGGGTGAATTAACATCGTAGCATATAAAACAGCATGAGCCTAGGCAGAAGTCGATAATTACGTACGTAATAGCAAAGTTATTGCAATTAATTGGATACGCTCTATAAATGACTCTGCCATACTATTCTGGGTATGTACATGTGGTACTGGGTGTCAACATCAATTCCCATTGCTGTACAATAATCATCAAATATATTTGGGATCATTAATGTCTAGACGGATTGCTTTAATTAGGTAATCTGGAAAGTGTTCCCGTAATCTAATAATTTATGCTAGCAATCTAACGAAGGCAATATTACGGGTTGATAGTAGACAAATATGTGACTATCGTGCCGATGCGTCAATCAATACCATAAGGTAGCGGAATGGTCCACTTGGTGGATGAATAGGTCCACATATATCCCCTTGAATTCTTTGTAAAAATGATGGGGATTCTACACCAACTTTAGTGATGGATGGCTTAAGTGTCAATTTGCCCTATGAGCAAGCAATACAAGCACTCTCATTAGGTGATAGAATCTTTAGGTTCTTTAATGGGTGCCCATGTGAGTTTTCTATGATCCTACACATCATAGTAGATCTTGGATGACCAAGATGGTCATGCCAAATTTTAAAAAGTTCAAGATCAGTGAACTTTTGGTTCATAACTGCATAGACTTCAACATTTTTCAGGAATGTGTAATATAACCCTGATGAGAAAGCGGAGAGTTTCTCTAATACATGCTTCTGGCATGAAATATTAGCAGTGATGCATGGAAACTCTTCATCCTTTTCACTTAAAGTTTCAATGAAGTATCCATTGAGTTGTATATCTTTGAAACTAAGCAAATTTCTTCTGGATTTACTAGAATATAAAACATCATGGATACTTAATTTAGTTTCGCTTGGTAACACGAGTGTTACTCTTCTGAAGCCCTCTATTATGTTTGCAGATCCTGATATGGTATTTATTTTAGCCTCAGTAAAGGTCAAACCTGAGAAATATTTTCTATCCCGAAGGATGGTGTGCTTTGTTGCATTGTTTACTATACAAATGTCTCCACCATTACTAGATATCAATGTCTTAATTTCGAAGTCCATCCTTCAAAAAAAAAAAAATATTATATTAGTAAGGATGTTTACAGAACTTCATCTTCATGATATGGAACTTAAGGTCCAATTTTTGTCTTTGTTTTACAAACTTTATGTTTGTAATTAGTATTTAGAACTTCAAATTCTAAAACGATATTTATTTATGAAACTTCATTTATCAAATATAATATGGAAGCACAATTGCTAACATTGGTTATCGAAAATATAATAAAAACATATCTAACCATAAAGGTTGTATTTGACAACAATAAACAGATCCGACCATGAAGGCAATATTCAACAATAATAAATAGATTCGACCATAGAAACGGAATTTAACAGTAATAAATAGATCCAATGAACAAAGAGGTGAAATTTAACAATAATAAGTAGATCTGATGACCATAGAGGTGGAGTTTAACAATACTAAATAAATTCGACCATAGAGGCGGAATTTACCAATAATGAATAAATCCAACCATAGAGACGGAATTTAATAATAATGAGTAAATCTAACCATAAAAGCGAAATTTAATAATAATTAGTAAATCCAGCCATAAAGGTGAAAACAAAACAAAGATTAAAGAGCACATATAAAATCAAGGTACTTACTTTCAATAGAGGTGCATCGTTACACTTGTTAAGCTTTTCGTGCTGATAACGTGTTATAATTTAGTAGTGCTATTTAGTAGTAACTCAAGAGAGGTAAAATAAATAAAGTAAATAACAAGGGACCAAAATGAGAAGTAAAGGCGGTGGATGGCCGCCAATGTTTTTACAACAAAGGTTTCGATAATGGTTTTTTAACAAAATTTTAGGGTTTCCATTATGGTTTTTTAACAAAATTTTAGGGTTTTGATAATAGTTTTTAACCAAAATTTTAGAGTTTCCATAATGGTTTTTTAAGAAAAATTTAGGGTTTCAATAATGGTCTTTTAACAAAATTTTAGGATTTCCATAACTGATCTTTAACAATTATTTTTGTTTTTAAACAAACAAAAAAAAAAAAAATTCTAAAACCCTAAATATTCTTACAAAAATAGTCATTCCCAGAACTCTAAATTATTTTACAAATATAACTATTCTTGAAATCCTATACTTTTTTAAAAAATAACCATTTTCCAAAAACTAAATAATTTTTTTTTTATCTAAAATAGCTAATTTTCGAACCCTAAACTTTTATAAAAATAACCTTCTTTAAAATGTTTTTGTAAAAATAATTATTTTAAAACCCTAAGCATTCTTTTCAAACATATAAAAAGTTATCACAATTTTGTTAGGAGTCGGAACATTATTGCCTTATTGGTTTCAACAATTGTTCAATAACTGAAACCACCGACCTTTAACCGATGATAACAAAGTTCAACAAATATTATTTTTATTTAAAGCTATTGTGTATAAATTATATATACATCATACCACCAAACAAGACCATAGGATCGGCTCTTATATACAAAACATACAATTTTTTAGCACATATACATATATACAGCAACATGTCACTCTCGTTGTTGGTACAAACAACTCAAGCATCAACAGACACACTTACGGCATTTAGTTCAACATGCTGCTTGCCCTCATTCTGAGGACGAATAGTAACAGTTGCATGTGCTTCTGCCGGTGAAGATTGATTATAACCTGAATGGGAAATAAATATTGAGCTCTCTAGAGGTTTACCACAGGAGATATTGATATTGTCACAGTCATCTTGGACTTCTGAGACGATTTCCCATTCCTCTTTTAGTGAAGTAACTTCTAATCCTTTCTTTTTGTGCGTTTCAATTTCAAAAGCAGTAGGCAGAATAACATAATCGTTTATTGGGTTGTAGTAAGGATCAGGGTCACCAGCTTTTAGCCAATGCTTGAGAATCCTAAAAACATGATGATCACATAGAATTCCCCGATGCTCACCTGGGACTCCAACCCTTGCTTCTGCATTCAGCCCATCTGCCTGAAAGTAACAGAAGATTTACAATCACAGATGAGTTGTCAGTTCAGGGACAAGAAAAAAAAAACACACTTGAAAGTACACATGCCACAAGAGCACATATATATGCGCACATAGAAGATCATGGCATCAGTAACCAAAGAAGCAGCCTGATTTTGTCACTTAGTCTTATTATAAGAATCAAATGACAGCTTCCATTTTTAATTTTCACTATTCTTGTAACAGTAACAATCATGTCAACTGTCTAAATTACACATAATCATATTGTCCATTTTCTCCAACAATTATCACTTAAGAAAGTTGAATCCAGCTTATTACTAGTCTCAACCCTGTATATTACACTTATTTATACCCAAAACGTACATAATTTCCCTCATCATAAAATCTAATTTTATTATAATTCATTTGCATACTATAGAAATGTCCAACACCATCAGAGAATAATAACAATTAGCATTCCTAGCAGCTACCCCTAATTGCATGGTAATCAGAAGATAATTTCAATCTTTTATATAGTATTAATAATTTTTTTTTTAAAAAAAGAGCAAATCAGCAGTCAAGGCTGCACAGGAAATGTTAATTATTCATAGCATAATTAATATGGTAGATTAGAACATCAGAAAGAATCGTTGACATGGAAGCTAGCAAACCTTGGCTGATTCAGTTGGAACAGTCCCATCGCCATCAATACATACATATTTAGCCTGCAATTATACAAAGATATATGAAATTTTGCAAACAATACATCACTGAAAGCAAAAATTCATTACATACCGATAAGACATTAAGAAAAAAATTAAAAGAGGAGAAAACTATTGCATATATAACACCTGTTACATATTAACTTCAGAAATTACACTAGTAACACTACATAACATGAGAAGGAATATTTAGAGGACAATGACCTGGAGAAATCTTAGTTCTGATAAATCTGTGACAGGTGCATCCTCACTTCCATAACTGCATAGTAAATGTAAAATTAAAGAAGGCAAACCCACCTAGAAGTAGCAAAAATTCTTATGTTCTTAATCTTCAACATAATGCTACATATTTCTAGCTTAACTGTTGATGGAACATTTAAAATAAAAATCATACCAAACACTATGAGGTGTCTCAAGATTGATCCCATATATGTTGTAGAATTTAACTTTGGGAGGAACCTTCGCATGCAACAAAATCTTGCGTGTTTCATTAGCCCATTTCAAAATCTCCATATTGAAAGGTAGAGGAATAGTCATTCCATCATAATCCACCTGAAACCATCAAATACATGCATATTGATATAATCAAGCCATATAAAGTACATAACCTAATCCTCTTACAAAGGGTCAGGGTTAAATTTGCTACTTAGGAACAAGATTTTTCAACTACCATAGTTGAAGTCAAATATTTTTTAAAGACAAAACAAAATGTTGGAGTGTACATTATGAAGTTCAATTGTCATTTATGAAAACAAAAAATAAACATAATTTCGGGAGCATAATGACACTCTATCGTCCTTACATGGTGGAAGATTTTTAAATTTCACTGGAACATTTATCTTCAGTAAAACTTTCGAGTTAAAACTATCAAAAGTTTCTAAGATCCGATTTCACCCAAAAACAGTCCATAGCTTACCGTATTCCTTGAGAGAGCTTCCTTAAAAATTTCTGTACTGTCTGTTTGGGGATAAGACTCAAGAATAATCCGAGAATTTCCATCATCATCTTGCTTCTCTCTCCAGATTTCCAGAAGAGGATTGTGTTGCCATTGAAATTTCCGACAAGCCATCAGTTCATATATTGATGGACATTCAATCAACTGAGACATTGTCAATATACATAAATTAATCTTAACGACAACAGTATAAAAATAAAAATAAAACTTTAAACGAAATTGATATTCAAATTGCCAAACTTATGTAGTCATACCAGTTGGTGCATGCTCCATTTTGATATAAAAAAGTTCTGTTCCCAACCTTCGACAAATGACATTCCATTAAGAAAAGTAGAAGTAATATACCCAGGTGCACCTGTTAGACAATTTTAAATCACATATCCAAAGTCAATTTCAGGTTAACTTTCCTAACTTGTACGCACAAAGAGATAGAAATAGAAACCAACAAAAGAATCCACTGTCTCCAAGTTTCCAAGTATTTTTAGTTCAATCTAACCTACGACCCCAAATTGCTTGATTAGCTAATGGAAATATGAGGAACAAACTATTATAATGAAATTGCACATAATTTAACGAAACAAGTATCCAAAAGAACAGTTCAGATATTGCTCCTTCCACATAAGTATGCTATAAGCCCTATTTCAAGATATAGAATTTTGTTCACATGAATAAACAATGATAGGCCTTATAAAACATACAAATTTAATGATGATTTAAAAGCATATGATGATCCTATAATCTTGCAATTGAAACAAAATTAAAGCTAGGGGTAGCATCACATGCAAGGCTCCCTAATTCAATTTTATTTTCCCACTTCCTACATTTTGGCAACTTTGTGTTATGGACGAGAAAAGTGAAAATAATGATGTCACACATTTCCCCAGTAAAAGATAATATCATATGTTTTGACTTTCCTTTTCTTCCTTTTCATTTGGAAACTTCAACAAAATAAAATTCTTAGAGGCAAAAATTTTCAGGGCAGTAAAAGATTCAGTCTCTCAAAAGCTGCTTATCCCTGTTGTGCCCAAGTTGACTACAATCCAAAATCACTTACCTTGAAATGGTGCAGCAATTGCAATCCAATTCTTCACATATTTCTCAAAAATCTGAGCCAAAGGAAAAGCAACATTACCAAATTGATTAAATTGTACCAAAAGAAAGCAACATGAACAATCAGATGTGAATTCAAACTGGGAATGGGGAGAGGGAAGACAGAAGGAATAATAACTCTTACATCACTGTGCAGAGACATAAAACATTTCACTAGGAGACCCCCCATAGAATGACTTATGATATTTATCTTTTTCCCTCCAGAAACATTATACACTGATTCCAATTTTGCAGCAAATCGCTCCAATGTTCCTGGCAACCTGAAAAACAAAGGGAGCAGAAACATTTCAAAACCCCCTTATAGTCTCAGAATAGAGAAATATCTTCGTTCATCAGGTAGCTATCATCAATCTCATTGATGCAAATATGAGCTGCTCTACTATATTCATAGACAACCATTTAATAATGAAATCAATTGATTTTATTAGTTTTGCTTCTATCAAAAAAATACCAATTAATAAATACATTAAATACACCTTTGAGAGTATACATATGAATGTCCTAAAAACTAGCCCAACTCTATTGACTATGGTAAAACTCATCGAAGGAATATAAGATCTAAAGTCAAGACTCAAGCAACACCCTCTATAAGGAAAAAGGAGTAACAAGAAATAGATGGAAATGCTGATATAGCACAAAGTACTCTGTACCAAAGAAAATTGAGAACATTGATTTTATTTATGTATTCCATTTTCAAAAACATGTGAATATTGTAAAAGTCAATAATTTTTCCATCTTCTTCCAGTAACGATAAATGTAAGATCAACGTCACTACCAAGGAATGAAGTTGCAATGCAATAAGGATGAATTGTTTTACATCATTAAATCAATAGACTGTATACATGTCCGATTAAATATTACACCCTTTCCATTTCACTCAAAGAACTGATAATCTTATAATTTTCACAAGCAAGGAGCCATCTTCAAACTTCACAAGAAACATAATAAACATGCAGGAATTATGAGAACATTAACAAGCACATCTAATCTTTTCCAGTTTCCCTTTAAGGGGGTGAGGAGGTAGGTGCCATTCATTGTCTAATAGGTATGACAACTCATAAGAAAATACATGACCCAGAAAAATTTGTACCTTGAAAAAGTTCTACTACTAAAGTCATAAGTAAAGTAGCATCAACAAAATTAAATTTTTAGAGGATACCTGTTACTTTGGCGGAAATCATAGCCAAATCCAAAAAGGGTCTTCCCCTCTTGAAAACCCCATTTGATCATTTCCACGATCATGTCATGGAAATAATAAACACAATCACGTCCAATTATCTGCATTGAACCAAAAATGAATTGGAATCTATCATTTCATTATTGGTCATCCTAATTCAATCTCCAATAAAAATGTGATGACACATTTCTACCAAAAAACAGTTAAATTTTATTCATTGCATTTTAGTGGCCACATTGCATTTTAGTGGCCATAAGTTTGTCTCAAGAAGAAAAAAAAAAAAAAAAAGAAAAAGCGCGTATGTGATGTACAATAACACTAATTGGATACCCTTCATAGATGTACATTAAAGACTTTTTAGTTGTAAATATGATATTTGGAGCTGGATATTCTGCTCCATAAGCTAACTTCACTTTCATCTCAGTTAGTTTCCCCATGTGCCGTTAATGCTTTCAGAGCAATAGCATGCAGATCAAAAACAATCAAGGAAAGAAAAGACCAGCGGTTTTAAGTGTGAGCAAAGAGACATAAAGGTATTAATGGGCCCCAGTGAAGCCAGACAGAGAAACTAGCAACAAACTCCAAGCTGCGCTCATTGAAACTCATTTAACTAGTTATTTGGCATCTAAGATAAAGTGAAACAACCTAGCTATGAGGCGAGAACGAGCTACCAAGGAGTTAAGTGTAGGCATCCTATCAACAAAAATTATTTATATATAGAATTGCAGGCAGGAAATCTAATTAGTATGGACACTAAAACGAGAGTAAACCAAGTTTAGGTGGAACAAGTGCAATTCGTGACCATTTACCTCTTATTTAAATTAGACCATTCTATTTTTTATTTTTAATTGTCATTAACTTTTAAATTTTAACCTCAATTTGTGCTTGAATTTGCTATTTCCTAAAATTCACATGCAAAGTAAAGACATACCAGGTCAGGATCTAAGACGTCAATCGCATACAATCCATATCTATCTTCAGGAACCATAACACTTGTATTTGGATCTAGAGACACAGTTTGACCTGTTTCACATCAATAACATATAAGCAACGGAATATTTTATACCTTATCAGTAAAAACTAACAAGAGAACAAATCATAAATTAAATAGCACAGACAAGTGATTGCAGAGATCTAATGAAGCATCCAAAGAATCTAATCAGAAATTGAAAGCACAAATACAGTCTTCTAAAACAGACCACATATCAACTGCTGGTGATAGTAGCCCTCTTGTGAATTGGAATTATGAGAGGGTTGCATGGATTACGCAATTGAATCACAACAGAAAAGATGGAATAGGTCTATGAAGCACAACATGATTTAACCTCAGTTCCCTACGGGTTTATTTCTTCTGAATCTAAAGATCCTGTAGATTCAGGCTATTTTCCAGGACAAGATTGAAATTTGAGATACAGTAGTTTGATTTCAACTCTGAACAGTATACTGAAAAATCACTAGCTACTACATTAAAGTATAGACTGAAGTACAAAGCTGAACAACCACATGTTTGACCTCTTATTGAGCACTCAGCACATGGAAACCCTTATATGATTCAACCCGACAAAAAGACAAATCTAAACAATTTGACTACATGCTTAAACTCATACTAGGCACATGGCACCACCCCTTACACTGTTCTATTTTTTATTACAGTTATCATTATTTACAGTAAAAATGATTAAAACACAACTGCAAAGCAGTTTTGCATCTCCGGGGAGGAAATAAGTTGCTATCAATCTTTCAGGTGATTTGAGTTTGAGTAACGAATCTTATGCATTTTAAATATTTGCAAAGAAGTGCGCAGGCACCACTATCATAACTTGGAAATTATTGTAATGGGAAACTGAGCAATTGATAGGAGGATACCAAATATGAGGCTTGGTGTATATAAATCTCATAAGTATTACTCTATCATATAGCTATCAACTAGTGATTCGACGGTTCCAGCATTTAGACTTTGCACCCGGCACTTTCAATTTACAAGCAAATATGGTTTTCCTCTATTTTTCAGCTTTTTCTTAATTCAATTTGGATACAATAAACTTGAACTCACAATCAACATTGAAAAACGATTTTAAAAAGATATAAGACAAACTATTTACCAGAAGAAGGATCGAATTTTGACCAAAGCTTCGTCCGAAACTTGTAATCGGCCCCAATAATCCGAACCCAAACCCGCTCATCTGTCCCATTAGTACCATCCACGGCCTTCAAAATGGAACCGGCAATACCTGGAACGAGCAAAACCGGGTCAAGATTCGGGTCAACGTAGGGTTGCGGTTTCGTCCTCATCAGCCTCAGCCATAGCTCCACTGATTGCACTACGTCCTCCAATAAGACGGCCATGGCGAATCAAATTCTGTTGATTAAAAATATTATTCGACAGAATGAAAATTTGGTAATCAGGTCGAGTGAGAAGATTGAATAATTAGGAGGATTTGGTAGACTTTCTTAAAAACAAAACGTGAAGAAGATGAAATTGAAGGGATTATTATTTTATTCCAAATTATTGAGTTAACAGAAGGTTTACGCTGTTCCCAAATTTAAGTTAGTTTATCCTCTGACCAATAGAAATTTGACGTGTCATATAATAAATTAACTAATTATCAATAATTTCCCTTGCTTTTTGCGAAATTGATAAATTTGTCACCGTGACGTTACAAAAATATATGAGATGCCGTACCACAGCCAGGCTATTTTCCGTTGAACACTTTATCTTACTGTGCGACTCTCAACTCTCACAGGTACAAGAACAGAAATGCCGCTTCTTTCCATGGCATCTTGTTGTATAAATACAAAATTTCGTCTCGCAACCAAGGTGAAGGCCTTCTCTAACTCTATCCCCTCTCTTTACTTTTATCTGTATGTGGAAATTTTTGTCAAATTAAAAGGGTTCTAAACACAGGGAAATGAGAAAGGAGGAGGAGGAGGAGAAATACAGAGCCACCCAGCTCCTTTGCTGAATAAACAAGTTAAGTTTGTGAAGAGCTTGGCTCCACCTTTAATGGCTGCACTTGTAATCTTGTCTCCTCTCGTCAACGATCCAGGTAAAAAACACCCCATTCACGGGTTCAATAATGATTTCGTTTTTAATGCTTAAATGTGGTTATCAATTTGCAATCTATGTCCAAAAACACATCAAAACTGGATAAGAAATTATAATGAAGACAATTGCATTATTAACCCATCATGTTCACCATTCTCTAATTCACTACATTAGGATATTATTATCCTTTCTTTTTATACTGAAAATCTTTTTAGATTACTCCAACATCTCTAACTATGTTGTAATAAAATGTTAAATAAATTTCTTTATTCATTTGCTGTGTTTCTAGTCTTCACCTTAAGAAATTATGACAATGAATCACAAGATAACCAATTCTGAATTATGCAATATCATGTTCTTACGTTTGGGTTGTACATTGTTGGCAAATGATATAGACAACATCAAGGACCAAGCTTGTAGTGTCAAGTGTTGTTCATACCATTATGGCAATTGGTTGAATCCATGACTACCTCTTGGTCACTTTGAAGAGTATTGTGAGATTTCTAGAAATGCTGCAGATAGAAGAACACATTTATATGCAGCAAGTCTTACATGTTTTCTTGAGAAATAATAAGAAAATTTTATTAATGGTATCAAATTTAAACATAGAGAAAAGAGGTGCATATTTGCATGATATTGTGTCTTTTTCCCCCTAAATGTTTATATGAGAATTATTTGTTGTTGCTGCTGATAGTAACATTAGTTTCAATGACAAGTTAGTTTGCTGATGGTATAACTTTTTCTTTCTCCTCTACCAGGTGTGTGTTCCAAACTGGTTTGATTGGTAACAATACATTTTATGATGATCATCCTGTTTCCACTATGCTCTTTACCTATTACTTTTCGTAAAAGAAAGTTTATCTTAATCGTATACCACATGATGAAGCAAAAAGCAGCTGCACCTGCTGCTCTACCCTGGAAATTCCTTTTCTTATTGATTCATCTAATTTGCAAATGCCTCTATTGATTAAAAAAAAAAAAAAAAAAAAATGGTTGCTGAAACATTTTTCCATGGAAAGAAAAACTTAATTATGATTTAGATTTTTCTGGAATATCATATTTTATCTGTAAAGTTGGCTGGAATTTGTTTAGAATTTTTTGGTGCACTAAGGGAATAAAATTATCATTAATTTTTGTTGTCTATTTAACAGTTCCGTTTCATCATGTCCTTCTTATTTGCCAAAATAGAGTTCATTGAAACAAACACTTTTATGTCATCGAACATCCAGAAGTATGTGACTTTTATAGTTTAGAATTCGTGTTTACCTTGTATCCTTGACTTCTTACGTTTTGCAGTATCACTTGGGCAAACCATTGATATACAAAGAGGGGCCAGATTGTTCAGTCAAGCTTGCATTGGATGCCATGATGCAGGCGGAAACGTAATTCAACCAGTGAGTCTTTCTCAACCCATACATTCCATATAACCATCTTCATTTTAGCTTCTTCTCTAATCTATAACTTTCTTCTTGTCAGGGTGCAACCCTCTTTATTAAAGATCTACAAAGGTGACAAGCCACAATTTCACTCGATTCTTTGTTTGTTTTAACATATTCTGTGATAAAGCTCAATCAATGAGAAAAAATCTATACAATCATAACAAATAAACTTTGGGAAATATAGAAGCATAACGAGCAACGAGGAAAAATAACTTTATTTTTTTTTTCAAACATTCAAAATATAAACCAATAAAGTCTCAAAACTGGTGTAATGTTGCAAAAATACTACTAAATAACTGGTCAGTTGGGTTAAGGACTTACTTGGGTGACTATGCATTCTCTAAACCATAGTCTGTAATGATCCCCAAGAAGTGATCAAAAAAGCTGCGTGTGCAGAAATGGAGTTGACACAGAAGAGGAGATATACCGTGTAACATACTTTGGCAAAGGAAGAATGCCTGTAAGTTTTCTTTCCAAACTTACATTTTTCCTATTAATGTTTTACTTGGTTAACGGTGAGAGATGCAGGGTTTTGGGGAGAATTGCACACCAAGGGGACAATGTACATTTGGAGCACGTTTGCAAGATGAAGAGATTAAGCTTTTGGCTGAGTTTGTGAAGTCACAGGCTGATCAAGGTTGGCCGAAAATAGAAAGTATCGAAGACTGATCCTTGCATCCAAATTTTGTAAATGTTATTTCACATCTTCAATGTAAGGAGCTTTGTTTATTGAAATTAATTATACGTGGGACTTACTAATACTTGATTTTTTAATTCCAACTCAGTGTTGATACTTGCTTATGCTAGTAGACTTTTAGTTGTTAATTAATAACTAATTTCCCTTAAAGTTTCCTCTTAAAAACTAGCTTTAAAAATTTAAACAATAAAAATTGGAGCTACCTCATTTATATATGTCTCTTCAATATGGTAACTAAACTCCTTTTTCAAACTCAATATGAAAACATTTGCCACTTTAATTGAAGATTATCATTGTTTTATATTCTGGTCTTATAATCATAGAGCTTCCATGGCCCATGGGTAAAGATATTATCTTTTAACAAACTCTGAAATGAAATAAATATAACTTTAACTTAAAAATGCTATTTATTTTATACTATTGACTCAGAAAATCTCCCCTTCACTTTGGTCTTTGTATGAAGTCTCTTTTATTGGAGATGCAAATGCATAAACCCGTGACCCGACCCAAAAGCAAATTAGGATTCATGCTTCACACTTGTTGAACGACCGACTTGTCGTTTAGTTGTTTATGTTATTCTCAAAATCATATCCAATGAGGTACCCCATTTTACCTCCTTTTATTTCTTAGCTAGGCTTCTGACACTAGTTGATTTATAATCATTTGGTTCCTACCCGGTATGTGTCAAATTTATTTATTGGCAATTGTTTCTTTGAATATAAGTACGCGATCTTGATCTTGATCTTGATGTGCTTTTTAACGGTACGAAGCAGTTTTGTAATACTAATTGTCATTGATTCATTATTAATTCTTGAATGCTTCATTTGAGATCAGCTTCTTTGTCAAAAAATTCCATTTGATTAATTACAGGAAGATCCCATTACCTTCTTATTTCCAAATTTCGGGAAATCTCACTGTGACCGTACCAAATCTCATTGGAGGTAAATGAAATTTACCGTCATTTTCTTTTCGTTTCGTGGTTTAATTTGTTGAAAAACTAGCTATATCTTGTTTTTGCATTGTTCTTCTGGTTAGAAAATTACGATTCACTCCTCTTTTTTTATAATATTAAATTGTTTTCTTTACTTAGATCTCTCTCTCTTTTTAGCAATTACAGATTAATCTGGTTTTGAATATTAGATTGAATGTTCTAACGTTTCTGGAGATTATCCGCTTATTCTTATTACGTGTCAAGTCAACTAAGTTTTGTCTTGAGATGATTTGATTTTATGGTGCCTATTGCTGTATGGTTTAATTGATGAATAACTGAGTTTTGTGTGGTTGTGACAAACAAGTGTTGTGCAATTTCATTCGCTGTTTGTTTGGGCGGCATTATGTCGGGCACAGAAGATGTAAAAGATCAAGAAATGGTGGATGGGAGTGCCCCTGAGAAGTCTCAGAAGTCTATGCCATCGTCTCAAGAGGAGGTTTTGTTTAGATCTTGTACTTTACATGTTTGATTTAGTTGAATATTTGAATGTGCATGCTGGTATAATTTGTTAATACGAGTTGCCTGATTGTGTCATTTTAACTTTTTGCTTTTGTAGGAGGCAGTTGTTAAAAAAAAGTATGGAGGGATCATTCCCAAGAAACCCCCACTCATCTCTAAGGTGATTTTTTATTAAGAATTTGCTATTTTATATTTTAAGAAAAAGATGTTGGGTTGTGTTGTTCTTAACTAAAGATTTAACTTGGTGTTAGGACCATGAGCGCGCTTATTTTGATTCAGCTGATTGGGCACTTGGAAAGGTACTTTATGTTGGTTCTTCCCCTGTCCATGTTTAGCTTGTTTTTGCTGGATGTTATGCGTTAAGTTAGTTGCCTGATAATTTTAATACTTTCGAATAGCAGCAAGGTGGTTCGAAGCCAAAAGGACCCCTTGAAGCCCTTCGGCCAAAATTGCAGGTATTGGGTTATGACTTAAACGTTTAAATGAATATTTGATGACATTAGTTTTTTCTCTAGACAATCCAGAACAATGAAGTAGTTGATTGGTTTACATATGTTGAAAGATGATACCAAAAGATGATACTTTTACTGTTGCAAATTGGCAGTCAGTTACTTGTACTCTGTCCCAGAATACTAGAATGGAATGTGAATAAGGAACTAAGTTTGCTACTTTCAGCCTACTGCTGATTAATGTCAGTCATCTAGCTAAAATTGATTATTGCTAATCCCAATCTCAAAGTATATAAATAATTTTAAGGATCTAGTATATTGTACTAATAAAAGAAGAGAAGATTGTAGGAATTATTTCTCCTTTGTTGATTTCTTCAAAGAAAAATGCAAACATACAAATGCACTTTCTTCTGCATGGTTAGGATTTTACTTGGAGATGACCACTCTTAGAGAACAAAAGGTGTTTCCCAGGAGTAGCTTTTTGAATGCCTGAAAATTCTTTGAATTGCTTCCATGTGTGGCATTCAAGTGCTGAGTGCATAAATTAACGTACCACACTTACTACATAGACTATATTTGGTCTTGTATGGGATATTTAGATCAATTTGCCTACCAACTTCTAGTACCTTCTTCTACAGGATTTCCCTCTATGATAGACCTCAATGTGTGTGTCTGATGGTATACAGCTAATCATTTCTAGTCTCCTTTAGTAAATCAAGGACATATTTTCAAATATATTTGTATGCTAATGAAGGACCTAAAAAAATAAAAAGTTCGCTTTCTACTATAGTGGATGCTTTAAATGGAAAGTGAGTAATCTTGCTATTGAACTCATTTCAGTTTTTAGAAAGAGAATTATGGACAAGCTCTGGGTTTCTTTGGAATCAAGTATTTTAAAGCGCGCAAGTCATATTGAGCATACGCTCAAAGTCGTTGGGAACCAATAATCTGAGCAGTCCAGACCCTTGCAAAAAGTAGGTTAGTTTTTGTCTAGTTTGTGTTTATATGTGTAGACATAGGTTTCAAATTTTGAACCAAAATCATTTTTAGTAAAAATATAGAATAAAATGTATTCACATAATGTCAGTCTATGTTCTTCTAATAAAATATATCAATTTTCATGCTTGGCATGTTTCCAATCTCCTTTGAATTCGAGGCTTTTGTTGGTAATGCTTAAGATGATAATTAGTATGTTGTGGAATTCAGACAACAGTGGCTCGTTTTATTTAATTGTACTTCAACAACTGTTATGCTCTTTTCTTGTTTATGATGAACTTTCTTTCTTTCAAGTATGAAACAGATTACTTATCTACATGATTGCTTATGAAGCTTTATATTTGTCTTGTTTCAGCCCACACAACAGCAAACACGATATAGAAAGTCTCCTTGTGCTCCTTCTGTTGGTGAAGGTATGCATCACTTGCTAGCTGCTTGTCATAATGTTGAATACAGATGATTTCATTTTCAAAAGGGAAAAAGTAAATTATCTTTTGTTTTCCTCCCATATTTATGCAGATGCAGGGAGTGCATCTGAGGAAGCAAGTGGTAATGAATGAAATCTATTGTTGATGGTCTCTTATTGTGAGTGAGGACCATTGATAATTATTCTGATAACTGCATAAGTTAATGAGTAACTTTCGGCTGTTCCCAGTAATAAAGTTGGTAAGAATGATACTATTAGCTAAAAAGAAACAAATTACCATCTTTGTTGTAGTTAAGATATATTGTGAACCATAAAACATTGTTCTAAAGTATGTTTTAGGGATGTAGGACATAATTGCTTGTTTTCTGAGTGAAAAGCTTGATATTTAGGCTTTGCTTTTGGTCGGCCAGTGAGAGATGCCATTATGTTTAAGCTTAAGAGTTATTATATTTTGTATCGGTCTCTTGAATATGGTAAGTCGCTTCTGTGCGCAAGATACATATTAATCCATTCAAACCGATCAGTCTGTTATGAGGAAAATAAAAAATGATAGAGCCACCGAAGGTTGCACACCGAATCTGTGCACCGAATGACGTGACAAAATCCTGATCATTGATTAATATTAACTGATAATGAATCAACGGTCAAAATTTTGTTACGTCATTCGGTGCACAGATTCGGTGCGCAACCTTCAATGGCTGTAGCATTACTCGAGCAAAATTGGATTGAAAACTCTCCAAAGCGATTAACATAAGATTGGTTTGGTGGTTGACAAAATCTATTGGATCACAGTTTAAGTATTATTGGTATTGGGACTTAAAAAACAAATTTAGTAAGACTTCTTAAATAACATCACTCACTTTCATTTTCAATCAAAACTGGCCCCAAGTTTTGGTTAGCACAGTCAATCATAATAGGCTTTGGGGGTAAGTCTACAATTAATAATCAATTATTTACACTTACAAACCTTTTTCACTAATTTTTTTTTACAAACACGACGTATCAATTTATAATTGATCAGTTCGTAATAGGTTTTGTCTGTTCAATAATGGATCTATCTAATCAAATACAAACCGATTAATTACAATTTGTTACATTAGTATTAATGAGAGAAGTTTGTGAGAATTGTTTGTTAGTCTATCTTTATTCATTAATAATAGTTTTGTTTAGTGTAAATGAGATAAAGGGAAAAATGAATTGGATAGTCCGTCCAATTCACTGAGGAAATTAAAAGAAAAATAAAAATAAAATAAAATAAAAAGAGGAAGTTTAGCTCGTCAGTCATTAGTCACCAATAATCAAGAGAATTTGACATCTCACCAAAGCCTAGGGGATTTATCTTGTTAAAATAATCAAATTTCATTGCTTGAAAAATATATTATCGTATGATTAAATGCCATTTATTTCTATGAGGGACAACTAATAGTTGGCAAATTTGTTTTGTTTTGGCTCCACTTAATTATTTTGTATGGCCACAGAAATTTATTTAATTTTATTGGTAATTTGGTATTATAAAAGAATCTCAATTATACACAAGTGGCTGAAATTGATAGATGACAAATTACGTTATTATAATGGATGGCTTTTATTAATTGGCAATATCAAAATAAAAATAAAGTCAACCATAGATTATTTTAATTGAGAAATGAAAGATTTTGTTTCTTGGGGATGGAATCTAATTGCACTTTATGCTCTAAATTTTTGGGCAATTTGAATCAATCTTGGCCCCAAAAGGGATAATATCCCAAATAGGAAAGAAAACGAATCGATAGGGTTACTCTGTCACCAATTTTCCTGACTTTCTATTGCGTGTCAACTCATGATCATACATCCTCAAAATATTTAATTAATTCTTTAAAAATAAATAATAATTACATTTATGGTAGCATTAAAACCATTTTTAAGAAAATTTTAATAGATGGATAGATAGATTTGTTTTGTCAAGAAAAACTAATAAACCAAATATATCACCATCAAAAGATAAAGAGACCTGAAACTTGGAAAATGAGCAGAGTGTAGAGCACTAGAAAATGGTTAAAAAATAATGTTGACGANGATTTAGATGATAACCATCACCCAGTTGTTCTTTTTAGTGGTGACCATTTAGTTTCTTGAATATTTCTAAGTGACATTTTCATGACAGATAGTTGAGACTAGAAGCAAACAATTATATACATAATAATTTTTCGAATATATGTAAGATGCATGCGAGGCATAGTTTTTGTTTCTTGCTTTATTATTATTATTATTATTATTATTATTATTATATATATATATATAAGGATCAAGGACACCCTCTACGAGAAGTACTGATGATATGTATGGTTGTAATATGCATGATAGATTACTTTGTCAGAAGAAACTGAAACTATATATTGTTAACTCTAGATGATGATCACATACAACTTGAAAAGTAATGAAATTTGAAAGCACTTTCATAAAAGCATTGATCAGTATCATGTGCTTGCTTCTCTAATAAGTGTTTAATCTGATAAGTGTTTTTAATAATTATATAAAAGCTTTCTTAGTGATGCTAAAAGCACTCTCAAACACACTACCCTTTATCGAAAATGAGAAATTAATTACTTCTATATATAATATAATGTAAGATAAGAGGTTATAAGTGAGCTTCAACAGCACTGTTTAATTCACAGGTACCATGGCTTCCCCGAAAAGTTTTCTGAAGAATATATATATATAACCTCCTGACAAATAATGTATAGATAAATTTCATAGGTTATTTACTGCATGATTATTTAATTGCAAATAAGACAAAAATGAATTCAGAAAATCATAACGGGGTCATACCAAAAGGGATTATTGTCCTCGTAACTGTGGTATTCAATAATAGATAGATTTCATTGATATTTATTAATTATTTTTCCATGAGATTTTAATTATTTGTGGCTCAACAATAAATGGAGATATTTATAAATAAATACTGGTTTCAACTAGTTGATCATCCATCCTATATTATAGATAATAGATGAACTAGTTTGCTACCATTTGATAATTAATACTAATAACTTATCCTATAATTATATATTTTTACATTGATGGGGCTTTCAATTTCATCACATCAAGAGGAGACACGTATCAAATAACAAAAAACTTATTGGAGACAAACTTTGACATATATGATTATTTCTCTTTAAGTTAAATTAATAATGAACTTGATTGATTTTGTTATATATTATGTTCTTTAAACGACACCGTAAACTTTTCAAGATTGATTAAATAATCTCAATCAATCTATGTATACCTATAACCTAATTCATAAACCAACCAATGGCCTAACATACATCACAATCTGCCATTAATCATTAAACTTATTGTAGAAACTTGAATTTAAAAGTGAAACTCTCGTCCAATTCTACAACTTCTAAGAAATAAAAAACAACTCTTAACCAAACTTTGTGAAAATAAACTGAGAGAACTAATTAATTATGCGATTTCATGCGTCTTGTTCATATTCACTGTTTATGTTTGGCAAAACCAACAAATTCAAAATGATAGACAATGAGAATGAAGTGCATATGATTTGTCGCTATTATTTGTCACTTTCATGCTAGCCTTTCCATATGGCGGTTTTTAATCAAATTCCTTCATTTGTGGTGGAACTTTAGTGGAATCATCTTGATAGTTCCATGGACATTGATTTTTTTTTTTTTTTTTCCTTTCCATCTTCAATAAAATAGACAAATCACTCTATTCACACTATAACTCAAACAACATATTTCAATTTTCTATCACAAATATCTTGATAGCTGTAAACGGTAAAATTTTCAATTAATCTTGTAAAAACAGGATCTTATGATATGAGCCACTGACAATCTTGATAGACCTGCGGAGAGTGCCCTTCAGGTTAAAATGTCTAAACGCCGTCGAAATTTGCTGGGACCTTAAGAACGAAAATACTGGAGCTTAAAAAATTTTGTATGACTGAATAATACCTTGATTTATTGAATGATAAAAAACAATATCAATTGGAGAAAAATTGTCTTAACAGAACTAGGGGGAGTGGACAGGCCCACCCTATCCCCTATTGTAAAAATTCCTAGGTGCTGCAAATGATAGAGTCGAGCCGAGTAGTATCAGAAATGGTAAGCCTTTAAATGGGTGGTGTTCCAACTGTTAGTGATGTTCTTGCCTTTCGGTGTTTGCAGTTGATAGGCTCATTTCTTGACAACTTTGGTGATTTTGTAAGGGCCTTCCCCTGTGGGGTTGAGTTTGCTCGCTCCTAACACTTTTGTGTTCTGTAATACTTGGCACAAGACCCTATCGCTAACTTTGAAGACTCTAGCTCGGACACGCTTGTTGCAATGCCGAGCCATTTTTTGCTAGTATATGGCATTGCGGAGAAGGGCTTAATCCCTTAGTTCATCAGCGATGTCAAGGTTGTTGTAGAGTTATTGCTCGTTAGTATTTTCATTCATCTACTAGAGCCATGCCGAGGGGATCGTCACTTTTGCTGGAATAACAGCTTCCGAACCGTAAGCCAAGAAAAAAGATGTTTCTCTTATGGACAACCACGCAGTTGTGCAGTAGGACCATAACATCCCAGTGAGCTCATCTGCCCAAGCTCACTTTGCCTTTTGCAATCTCTTCTTCAACGTTTAGAGGATGGTTTTATTTGCAGACTCAGCTTGCCTATTTGCTTGGGGATAACATAGTATGGAGAAGCTTAGTTTGATCTCCTACATTCTGCAAAAGTCTTGGAAGTCGAAACTAATAAATTGGGAGTCGTTGTCCATGACTATTTCTTTTGGCAAGCCGAAGCAACAAATCACATTCTTCCACACAAAGCTCTTTGCTTCGCAATCCTTGACTTGAGTGAAGGCTTTTGCTTCTATCCACTTTGTGAAGTAGTTAGTAACCGCAAGCATGTACATCATTTGGCCCAGCGCAGTTGGTAGCTTGCCTATAATATCCATCTCCCATTTCATGAATGGTTAAGGCATGAGGAAGGAGTCGAGTCATTCAAGAGGTAGGTGTGATACCTTGGCGAAATGTTGGTAGCTGTCGCAATTATTGGCGTACTTAGCCGAGTAGGAGCGCATGGTGGGTTAATAGTAGCCGACAGTCAATGCTCTGTTGGCGAGGCTCTGTCAGTCACCGTGATTGTCGCACTCGCCTTCATGGAGTTTTGCGAGCACACACTTTGCTTCTTTGGGGGGTGATACACTTGAGATATGGTCCTGAAAACAATCTCCTAAGTAGGTGGCCTTCATGTATGGTGAGCTGTGCCATTTTAGCTTTAAGTCTTCGTGCCTTATTCTTGTCTATGGGGAGTTCATTGTTCTCCAGGTAATAGAGGATGGGTGTCATCCATGACTCGTCTGCGTCGACTAGAGCGACTTCGACTGAACCAAAAGCAATTGCTGATGCTTGTAGGTGTACCAAAGGGATTTTTGTTAGGTGGTGGGTCTTCAAGGCCGAATCAAGATTTGTAAGGGCATCTGCATGGGAGT